GGGCGGGCTACGGCGGCGGGTTGTGGACAAACTGGGTGCGGGGTCCCGCCGCCGCCATCATGAAGCGAAGATGGAGGGAAGAGCAGCGAGTGGTGGATGGTGTAGGTTCAAGTCCTGCTTGGGGCTACTCCATCACCTCGAAATAGGAATAACAATACCAACAAGGACAAATTATAATAAAAATACCTTTGCTTCCCCCTATCCCGGGTTTGAGCCTAAAATAAGAGAACGAATGGGGGGGGGGGAAGCAACTGCTTACATATAAGGGACCTTATTAGCAACTATTCTTATCCACAAATCCGCAAGCATTAAAAAATGAGTTCAGGTGGCCCAGCGGAGGGCGGGGCAGAGGCGTGGCCCAGCGGAAGGCGGGGCTGGCCCGCCTTCCAGACCCGCTGGTGGGGACGTCCGCTGAGCGCGGGAGGCAGTCGGTGCTTTCCCGAGTCGCTCTTCTGGGCTCGGTGCGGTGGTCGGCATGGCCCGTGGAAATCAACGAGAACTTGCCCGCCAGAAAAACATGAAGAAATCCCAGGAAATTAGCAAGGGAAAAAGAAAAGACGATAGCTTTACTGCCTCTCGGAGAAAACAGAGACTCTGAGATCATGCAACAAAAGCAGAAAGCAGCTAATGAGAAGAAATCTATGCAGACAAGAGAAAAATGATGACTGACAATTTGGAAAACCTGGGTACTACTGCCAACTAGGTGTATTATAAGCTCTATGATCAAGATTTTGTAGAGTGAACAGTCATTACATGTTACAACTATCTTTATAAAAACTATTTTAAACTTTACCTTTCAGTCTGACTTAGTGTAATGTTTCAGAACCGTTCTTCAAAGAATAAAACACTAACCATGCATGTGAAAAAAAAAAATGAGTTCACACACGCTGGCATGGCTCAGTGGTTGAGTGTCGACCTATGAACCAGGAGGTCATGATTTGATTCCCGGTCAGGGCACAGGCCCTGGTTGCAGGCTGGATCCTCAGTGTGGGGCATGCAAGAGGCAGCCGATAAATGATTCTCTCTCATCAATGTTCCTATCTCTCTCTCCCTCTCTCTTCCTCTCTGAAATAAATTTTTTTAAAAAAATGAGTTCAGCCCTGGCTGGTTTGGCTCAGTGGATAGAGCGTCAGCCTGCGGACTGAAGGGTCCCAGGTTTGAATCTGGTCAAGGGCACATGCCTGGGTTGCGGGTTTGATCCCCAGTGGGGAGTGTGCAGAAGGCAGCTGATGAATGTTTCTCTCATCATTGATGTTTCTCTCTCTCTCTCTCCCTCTCCCTTCCTCTCTTAAATCAATAAAAATATATTTTAAAAAAATGAGTTCAGCCCTGGCCACTGTTGCTCAGTGGTAGAGCTCCTCCATGCACCAAGAGGTTGCCCCTGTTTGATTCCCCAGGACACAGGCCCAAGTTGCAGTTCTGTCCCTGGTAGGGGGCCAGCAGGAGGCAGCCAATGGATGTTTCTCTGTCACCCAGGTTTCTCTCTCTTGTGGAGGCAAAGGGGCCACATGCTAACCTGACAGGTAACCTTGCAAACTCAGAGACATAAAGTAACTGAAACGGAATTTTGGACTGGAACCCGGATTCTTTGTCGGCCAGAGTCGAAGAATGAATCCACGGGCAGAGGTGGTATAACAAAGGTCCAAATTTATTGAAGAAGAAGGTAAAGACTCCCATGTGGGGAGAGAGAAAGTGTCCCACAGAATGGACTCCCATGTGGGGAGGGGGAAAGGGTCCCACTGACTTCCTGTTTTCATGGTTTATAAAGGCTGCAAGTCCCTGTGTCCTGATATCCCCTCTGATTGGTCACTATAGCAACTCCTAAACTGCTGGTTTAGGCCCGATCCCTGCTGGCCCCCAACTGCCCCTCCATGCCAGCCT